GAGGCAAGCTACCAGGTTGTGTGAATGAGTATACTGTGTTCACAGAGAAAACATCCATGAGAAAAATCTAAATGTCATTACAGTATAGGGTTATGGATGATGTAAACAATGTTTCTCTATTTAGTGTCATTTCTGTAATATTATTTCACTCTAATAGTTACAAAATAAAATGTATTTAAAATTATAATTTTTTGTGACCAGATGGTCCTTTCTAAACCAGACAGGATTAGAAGAATGAGGTCACGGATCCTGAAGACAATGCTAGATTCTGGCTCCAGGGGAACCTTCAATCCACATGATTAATGAAGAAAGAAGTTTTTGTCCTTGGATATAAGCTTAGGCGGGCATGGATCCTTTCCGCCCCGGGCAGCTGGGTGGAGGAGGACCGGGTGCTCCAGTGACTTTATTTCTGCAAATCCTGTTGGTGCTGCCCCCTGCTGTCCTGCAAGGGGAAGGGCTCAACAGAAAGGATCTGGGTTTTCCTGGCCTTATGCAGACTTCGTCAGACCCAGCGTCTAGGGAGGAGTTTGTTCTCTCTGGGAATCCAAACAGCCACAGGGGAGCCTGGGCCATTCCTGTCTACAGTCTCCCTGTCTTGTCTTTAGACACCTGTCCCTGGGCCAGGGCACTTTGAGGCTGCTGTGCCCAGTGCTAGGAAAGTGGGGAGATTCAGGAGCTGGGTGGAGAGCTGAGGTCCCTGAGTCCCCTGGGCTGGGACCCTGAGCTTCTGTCCTGAATGGTCAGTAGACAGGTGGACACACCAGGGATTTGGGGCAGAGGGGTGACCGTGACGAGACTTGGGTCTGTCCTGCATGCTCTCCATCCCCAAGTCATCTCAGGCTTGCAAGTCAGGGCCTGGACTTCCGTAGGTTATGGACGCGTGGGCAGCGGCTAAAGCGACCCCAAAGGAGTGCTGGTCACCAGCCCTCAGGCCCACCCTGCCCACTCTGTCCATGTCTGTCTGAAGTCTCAGTCGCTTGTGCCCCTTCCTGGCTTTAAAACTTTGCATGGCTGCGCCCTCTGATCCACTGGCCTGTTGGGCAGTTTCTTCCTCCATAACCGGCTCTGCGTGACGTCCCTCCACACGGTTCCCACCTTGCATGTGTGTGCCAGTCACACTCATGATTCCACGGTTTCCCAAATATGTCTCGCATTTGCACCTGTGACTCCCTGACCAATACCATGATCTTCAGTCATCAGAGACCAAAAAGCAGCATAACGTAGTGGCTAAAGGGGTGGGCTCCTATGCCAGAGTCACCAGGTTCGAGTCCAGGCACGACCACGTAGAAGCTTTGTAACCGTGGCCAGCTCATATAATTTCTCTGTGCCTCTAAATAGCCTCATCTGAAGAACAAGGATAAGGACAACAGTCCCCACACCAGAGGGTTGTTGCGAGGATTAAGTGAGTTAATAACTGAAACTGCTCAGGAGAGTGCCTGGCATTTGGCAGACAATAAATATCATGACTTGCTTAGTGAGGGAAAATATTAATAGCAAAATGGTTAGGTCAGTTGTTCTCAAGCAGGAGCAATTTTGCTCCCTAGGGGCTATGTGACAATATCTAGAGATTTTTGTTTTTGTTTTTTATAAGCAGGGGATGCTGCTACTGGCATCTAGTAGATGGGGGCCAGGGATCTGCTAAGCATCCT